GAACAATCATGCATCCTTAGAAGGTTCCTATTGTTTTATACTCTGTGCTTAATAATAAATAATAGAGAATTCTCCCACATGTTTTGTTCAGGAGAGGAAACTGTGAGCATGAACATGAAGGAAGGTAAGAAACAGACTGGGGGAGGGAAAACCAGTGACAATATGAGAAAGAAAATGCTAGATTGGGTGGGACCCAGATGGTTGAGGCCCCAAAAATGCAGGGCTGCACCACAGGCCACACACAGCTCAGCAGCACTTTCATTTCTACAACCCAAGTGGGATGTCAGAGCAGAAAAACAGGTCAGTTTTGTGGATTTTGGAATAATATTCATTTTGAGCAGGGAATGGGAAAAATTCCTACTTGAGATGCATGTGAAAGAAATGGCAGAGTGAGGAACAGAAGGTGAAATGAACCCAGCCTGTCTTGGAAAAGTGTTTAAGGCTATGCCATGGCCTCATCAACAGCCCAGAACTGTAGGAGAATGTGCCACTTCAGAGCCTGGGAGAACTGGTGTGTGCCACATGCTACAAACACAAGCTGGTGGTCCCTGTGAAACTGCTATTTAGCAGGACAGAGCAGCTAAGGACAGGCCCTGGAGAACTGAAATGACTTTTAGAAATTTTCATGCCTGGAGTTAAGTTCTTTCATGAGGTGAGTCATTTGTTAATAGGATCTCATCATAAATCAAACCCTTCTGCTGCTGTTCCAGAGACGTCACGGCCTCTGCGTTGGGATCAGCCAAAATAACACAAATATGCAAATGTAGATAAACTCTGATGTAAATAATGAGACCCACAACACCTGCAGACACTGAAAATCCCCTGGCTTTTCATGCAAAATAAATGTTTTACACAAAAGAATTTGGGCAAAGAAACACAACTTCATTTGAGGCATTTCTAGTTGACAAAGGCAGCACAGTCACCCGAGGCAATTAAAATGTCACTCAGGAGGGCGTTGATTAGACCTTTCTGATCTATATAAATATCTATAAATGGGGAGCAGGAGTCTTTGTGTGCCAGAACAATAAGAAACCACAGTCTGCCATGACTGCTAATTCAAATTTCAAAGCACCAAGAATAAACCCTCAGTGCTCAGATTGGCATAATTTATACAGAAGGTGGGTTGAAAAGCTGCACTTATTGTTCTGAGAAGTCACTGAGAGATTTTTTTGCACATTATGATTTTGAAGTGAGCTTTCTTAACTCCTCTTTGAGAAGATGGAATTGGGTGAAGGTGTTTTCAGATAAACTAAATAGCAAAGAAACAACTTTTGGCTATATTGGTATAATGTGAAATTTTAGTATTTGTGGAGTGGGAGTGGGGGAGCAGGTTGGGACTGTGACTTGTAAAATTAGGGTCAGAAAATTGCTCACACTATTTCAACAAGCTCTGAAATGATTAAGTGTGTAGCTGATATCATAAATGTAACCAAAGAGGTTATTGATAAATTTACTGATAAAAGCTAGTGATCTACAGAAGTGGCCAGATTGGTCCTGTGGTATCAGTTTTCTTAATTTCCAGACACTGAATTGATGGAAGATGCATCATTCTTCCCCCCCTAAAAAACATCACCACCTAAATGCCCACAGAGAGAAGCACCGTGAAACAGGAAGAAAGCAAGGAGCAGGAAGAAAGAGGGAATGAGTGGGAGAGAACTGGGTGGGAGGTGGATTTGCTGCTCTGCCTGGTCAGTGCAGGGGGGTCAGGATGGCAGCAGGGAGGGGTAGGACTCGGTCAGAGGAGAGGACAGATCCCCACAAAGGCAAGCAGGAAATGAACGACGATTTTGTACTTTCTGGATATTTCTGCACTCACGTGACCACAGGGACTGAGCACGAGGTGAAGAGGCTGAAGTCCTCGGGGCTGCAGTCGGGGTCACAGCAGCAGTTGACATCACACTGTGCCACCAGCAGGTCGCAGACACACAGCCTGGCAACTGCAGCAGAGAGTGAAATCAGCACTGCAGTGGGGACTTCACACTTCACACCATGTCCCAAACACTTTCACTTTTCACCTCGCCCTGGTTTTGACAAAAACTTTTGGTCAAAAGCCTTCTCTGACTTCATGTCTTCTTGAAACAATTTTTTAAAAGCCATCTTTTCTGCTGCTGAGCAAATCTGTTTGGAACATGTGAACAAAACCAAGGCTTACTGAAATCTGCTCCCTGACAAACAAAACCCCAATTCAATAGGGATTTTGGAGGTGTGAAAATCTACTTAGCCCTGCAGAGGGAAAAAAAAATAAGCTATAAATACACCTTGTTTGTATCTGCTTTTTCAGCTTATTAGGAAGAAAAATAAAACATTTTGAAAGAGCAGAGAGATATTTACAAGCATTGAGGATGTCTCAGGGTCCAGGAATACATTTCATTGATGTGCCAACATAACCATAGTTGACTGCTTTGAAATTGCTTTTTCTCTCTGTTTGTAGATACTGTGAAATATTGTAATCACAGACAGAGTGATTGCTAATAATTCTGTAAACTATCTCAATAAAATATGCACTTGGCAACTTCTTGAAACACTTTGAGATTTTCAAGTTTATAAATTCAAAGAACAGATATTACTCTACTGAACTGTTTCAGAGAGTTGCTGTTCTATAATTAATCTAGACTTAAGAATAAGACAGAATGAGGAAAATTAAGGCAAGTATTTTATAGAAAAGACATTCAAAGAATATTTTCATAATTCTTTTATTTCACTTTGACTGCTGCCTGTTTCCCTGTGACCCGTGGATGTTCTCTGACCACCTGAACAGTATCCAGGTATTTCCTGGAATCTCTGAAGTTCTGACCATTCTGTTGGCAGAGCTTAGCTCACCCTGTAAACAAGAGAAGTTCAAACATGGATGATTAGATTGCAAGGTTATATCTGTGAGATTAGGGATTTAAATCTCTTTTCCCTAAGGAGGTAGCAGTGGGCTGGGTTTCGTTTGGCAGGTAACCCATGGAAAGCTCTGCTGAGGGCAACACCAGGATATTAAAGTGTAGCCAAAAACATAGCGGGAAACACCTTCAGAGAACGCAGTAACAAAACTTTGTGAGCTCTATTTTTATGACAACGTATCCACAGCTCGGGGTGTGCGTGGAGCCCCCCAAGGACACCCCGGGCCAGGTCGGAGCTGCCCGCTGTGCTCAGGGTGAGCAGCACACCCTGCCCTCCACCCCCACCGATCCCCAGGGCTGTGGGGTGCCCTGCTATGTGATGTCCATGCCACGATCACCGTGCCCAGGGCCTGCAGGCTGCTCAGGGGCTCGCTGAGCTTTCCTAAGGAGGCTCCGAGCCTCGGCTGCGGCGGCTGCAGCTGCCCAGGGGTGCAGCGAGCCCCAGAGATCCCCGGCAGAAGCCGGGCGGTTGTGCCAATCCCGGGAGACCGCAATGGGAAGCAGAGGCCAAAGGCTGAATGCCCGAGGGAGGCAGCGAGCGAGGCTCCCCTTAGCCGGGGGGCGCCGCCGGTGCCCGCAGCGCCCGGAGGGCACCCACCGTCCGTGACCGGGGCCGGCGCGCTGCGGACCCGCGTCTGTACGGCATCACGAATGTCTGCGGGCTCCGCGGCCGGCTCTTCTGCCCGGAGCGACGGCGGCAGAAGGAGGAGGAGGGTAAGGACGAAGAAAGCCCCGGGCCCCGGCGGCGCCGCCATGGCGGCTGCCCTTAGCAACGGCGCGTTGCCAGGGCGCGCGGGGAATCACGGGAAGGGCGGGTCCCGCTCTCGCGAGATTTGGCGGGCGGAGGGGAAGGGCTGCGCCCTGAGAACATGGCGGGCGTGGCGAGGGGATGGACCCCCGGTATCTGCGGTCGTTCAGCCGCCTTGGGGCTCCCTCATCGCCTCCCAGCGCGGGGAGTCTCGGGGAGAGGCCACGCGCAGGGTTCTGGCTGGGTATGGCCGTCGTGGTGGTGCCAGCCAGCGCCCTGAGGAACAGCCGAGCCCGGCGGTGTTGAGGGGTCGGTGCCCCCTCAGAGCCACGGGAAGGGTTTCAGGTGTAGTGATCCGCGTAGGTGGTTTGGAAAAAAAGTTCTTGGAAGCCCACACGTTAAACAAAAAAAAAAATTGGGAAATGGCCTCTTGAGAGATATAAAATACAGTATTTCACGTATTTTTGCAACTTTTTTTAAGTGATCTTTCCTTAAAGTAATTTTTAAAGTGTGTAAGTTTCTCCTTTTGAAGATGTGGGCCCTCAGTGCTCAGTGAGCATATTCGGTAATCTTATTAGTAATCTTTTTCATGTGCTCAGATATCTTAGAGGTATTTTTCAACCTAAATTATTCTACTTTTGTACTAATTTGGGAAAAAACTGGGCTAGAGAATGACTAAATGATCATGTTCCTTAGGGTTCTTTAAATCTTTTCCAGCCTTAAAAAATCCATAATTTTTTGATCTGTTTTATTTCCCTGACCAGGTTCATTACTGTCACCTTGAAGGGAAGGCAAGAAAAGCTCTAAAAAGCATTAAAATTCCATTGAAAAGGGAAATAATTCCACAGTGCCCCTCCTTTGCTGTGTCCACATCACAGGAGTGAGGAGTCACACAAGACAGAGGCCACAGAGGCCGTTTGATGTTATCAAGGAGCTGCTACAGGATGGGTTTGAAACAGCTCCACGTCATGTGGCAAAATCCTGGAGTCATCCTTGCCCATGGAAAGGCCTCCTTCCTCCAAGGACACGGTGACACAAAGGCGAGAACCTGGTGTGCTCCACTCTGCCTCAGACCTTACACCCCAAAATAACCTCAGCAAAAATAACCTCCAACCTGCCTTCCTTGGGAAACGTAACCCAAAATCTCTATGTTTACTTTCTTCCACAGGGATGAAGAACTGGTGTTTTCAGTCTGTTTTTTTTTTTTTTGCTGTTCCTCAGTTGGCCAAAACGCTGTTGCTGGTGTTGGGTTTGTTACTTTTTTCAAGCTTAGAGTGACTCACACACTTCCATTTTGAAAAGGACCTGTAAAAAACCATAGGGGCTTTGTTTTTTTGCTTCTCACTGAGGTTGTACCAGGGCTGGCTGCAGCCACTGATGAGAACATGTGCCTGTGTTTGGAGGAAATTCTGGGAATCTTTACAATTGCATCTCTTTCACTGTCCCACAGCAAAGGAACAAAAAGAGAGGCAATCCTGCAGGAAGGACAGCTGGAACACATGGCTGAGATATAACTTCCCTCTGTGTGAAGCTGATTTAAGGGCTTATAACCCCTTCAACTTCTTTGACTAAGCTCCCACATGGTCAGTTAACAAGGATGGAGATGTTTCTCCTCCCTACCAGTCCTGCAAAGTTGGAAACTTAGAATTTATTTTGCAGGCTTGGAGGGAGAGTGGTGCTTGGTTTATTTATCATCACTGGTTGTGATCTATGTTCTTGTTCCACTGCAGTGTCATGAGATAATTAATACTAAAACACCCCTGCTTGTTAGTTTACATGTTTCTGATGCCTTTAAAATCAGTAAAAAAGGGCTGATGACATTGCACAGGGGAAAACAGAATTTAATACATTTGTCTTGCATCCAGAATTACTTGGCAAAGCTGATGGTGCACAGGGGACCCGACTCCAAGACTAAAACCAAGCCTTGCTGAAATCTGAAAGCACAGATTGCACCCTGGATGAATGTGGGCAGGAGCTGGATGAATAAAGAGGTATTAATTCTTACTGCATCTACCATTGAAGTGGAATAGAAGTGGGCAACCGTTCAGAAGCAAAGTAGGATGGAATTAATCTGGTTTTCTCGAGACCTTTTTTTTTAGGGCTTCACTCATAGCAACAGTTCACCTAAACACATTTCCAATACTTGCTGTAATAGAAAAAAAAAACACCTTTGTCATGTAGAGAAAGGCAAAACCAAAACCACATCTAATAAAAAACATTTGAAAACCCCCCACCACCACAAAACCCACTCTGCTATTTGACTTCTGAAACAGGTTCCAAAGAGCAAGTCCACGTGTGTAGGATAAGATCAGGACATCAATACATAATGCTTGTTCTCCATCAGAGAGGTTTTAATTTATCTTGTCAACATGAGTTAATTAATAATTAAAAAGGGCACTGTGATCTTTATGTGGGAGGTCTTATAAAATGAAAATTCAAGCAATTTGAGATCAGTAGATTCCTGCTTATTAAAAAACATGTTCAGGGATTTATTCTATTAATGTTTCAATTACAGTTTAAGCAGCATCTGATATGCATTTAAGCATTATAGAAGCTGTGACTGCCCCATCCCTGCAAGTGTCCAGGGCCAGGTTGGAGTAACCTGGGATAGTGGAAGGTGTCCCTGCCCATGGCAGGGGGTGAAATGAGTTGATCTTTGAGGTCTCTTCCAAACCATTCTGTGATTCCTCTTGCTGATCTTCTGACTCTCCATCTTCTCTTGAATCCTCATGAGGGAAGTCTCATATGGTCCTTCTCACATTGGTTTTCTTTCTAATCCAACTGTGCTGTCTTGAACTTCACCTTTTCAGAGCTAACATTGGGTTTGCCCTATGACAGGTCACTTTAAAAGTCCGAATGGACAGACATTTGGAATTAGAGTCCAAATAAAGTCAAACCAGGCCAAAATAAACTGCATTCTGGTCTAGCACAAGATTAGCCCTTAAATAAATAGTGAGGAGCCGGAGCAGTCTGTACAGCAGATGGCATTACAGGTAATATTTATCACACTCCAATCTCAGGGCTAAGATACTTCGGAGGGAGGATTGACGTCAGCTACGAGTGAATCAGTTTTAAAACAAGCTGGAAACCTGCTTGTGCCTTCAGCAGTGGATTACTTTGTGCAGCACTTCTGCTTCGCACTCCCAGGTGCATTTATTGGTCTGAGCAAGCCTAGCAGGAAGAGCTCATTCTGTTTTTGCAGCTTAAGTGAGCTGATGTAAATAGATCTTGGACTTTGAGGTGGGAAGATTCCACCCAGCTGCAGTAACCAGGGGGATGCCCTTTGCTCCAGTTTTTGTGCCAAATTTGTGCATTGGGGAATTTTAAAGAAATATCACTTGGCAGGATATCGACTCTGAGGGTACAAGAATAACACTGAGTAAGGCAGCAGGGCATGGGCTGGGAGGGATTTACAGGGAGAGCTATCCAGACTGACACTGAGCAGTGAAGAAAACCAGTTCTGAAGTATTTTATTAAAAACAGTTGGGTTTTTGTCTCACAGGATCCCAGAGAAGATCCTCTGAATGAAAAACCAGGAGCAGTTTTTCATCTGGGCACAGCGTCCTTGTGCAGGAGTGACAGAGTTCATCAAAGGTTACTAATTACCATGTAAATCATGAGGTTGTCTGGCTGTCTGGACAGACTTGGGTGGGTGACCTGGGGTAGAATCATAGGATCATTAAGATTGGAAAAGACTTCCAAGATCAAGCCCAACCTTTGACCAAATACCCCCATGCCCACTAAACTGTGTCACGAAGTGCCACATCTACTCATTTTTTGAACACTTCAAGGGATTGTGACTCCACCACTTCCCTGGGGAGGCTGTTTCAGAGACTTTCAAGGATGGAGGAGTGTGAAGAGCTCACAGTGTGCCTTGGCTTGGGAGCACTTAGGGAAGCACAGAGTCGTGCCCTGCCAAATGAGTTTGTCAGCCCTGAGCCCACGATGTCCCTCAGCATTTGAGCCATGGCTGCTGGGCAAAGTGGCACAGAGAGAACCCTTCCAGCCCTGGAAAACTCAGCATCGAGGCATGGAGAATTCATCTTTAGCTGGGGGGGATCACATGCTGAGCAGCACAGCCAGGTAACGCAGGACAGGTCACCTTGCACCAACCTGAGCTGCCTCAGGGCACTGCAGGCAGCAGCACAGAACAAGGGGTTAGGCCAGGCTGGACTTGAACTAGACAGGACCTGGACAAGGAGGAGGAAGAACAAGGAGGAAGAATGAGACTTGGGGAAGGCAAAGAATGATTCTGTGGGGGAAACTCTGCAAATATGTGCTTCCTTTTACCGATAAAGGAGGGTGTGAGGCACTGAGATGAGCTACCTTGTTTGTCTGCTCTCACACCCTGCCAGGCCCTGGCAGCAGCACTCCCTTATCTCCAGCACATTGGTACATTGAGCTGTGCAGCCTTCCCTAATCCACCACACTGGGCCTGGGCTGCTCCTCCTCTTTCTCCCTCTTCTAACGGGAGGATTAATTTTTTAATAAGTTTGGATACTCTTTCAGCTTTAGCTGGATAATTCTCATACATTGCTTAAGCCTTTAGCAGTGTATGGGGGGCAATATTGTCTCTGTCAAGGAAAATGCCTCCTGTGTGATAATGAGGGTGCTCCAGCAGCGTTCCCATGGGTGGATTGTGGCACAGAGCTCTTCCTTCCACTGCAGGCAGCTCGGGGGGCAGGTTTCACACCTGCCTCTGCTGTATTTACACCTCTGTTGTTTGTTATTTACGTGTTTCGGGTTATGTAAGTAGCAGCAGTCTCTTGTGCGTGTACCCAGAGGAATTAAACAAATTTGCAGAGCAACCTGCTGGGAACTTCCAAGGGGACAAAGCCATTTTTTGCACACCCACGAGCAGCGCGGAAAACCGAGCTGCAGAAAATGAGGAATCGGGTCTTTTTTAATATTGTGGGTCTTTACAGCTTTGATGCCTTGAAGTCGTTGCTGTTGAAGTTGTCCAGCTGAGAGCTTTGTGTCACTCTCAACTCCAATTAACGTGGTTTTCTGGGCTTTGAGTGATGACTGCACAACCCACCCTTCTCGTGAGGTTTTTGTTTGGCATTTCACGTTCCTTAACCAAAATGGATTAACTGCCAGCGCTGCCATGGATTTGCAGAGAAGCCTCTCACGAGCGGCACTGAGCTGTCTCTGTCCCCGGCCGCACCGAGCCGGGGAGAACAGGGCGAGTCATCCTTGGGGGGGAAAAAAAATAAAACCACGTTTTTGCGCGGCGTGACTCACATAACCGTTCTCAGCAGGCACGAAGCACCGGCGGCCGGCGAGTCCCCGCGAGTTATTCGGAGCACGCGAGACACGCGGGGCGTGGAGGGCAAAGTATGTGGGTTAGGCGCAGCCGCGCTGTGCTGGTGTGCGAACGTTAATTGCGTTAATTGCGTTAATTGCGGGCGAGAGGCGGCGGGGCCTGGCGGGGGCGGGGGCGCGGGCCCCGCTCGGCGCCGCGGGGGCTGCCGGGAGCCGCCCGCTGTTATTGTCCCGCAACATGCAAATGAGCGCGGGGCGGGGAGCCAATGGGGGCCGGCCGCTCGCCGCCGCCGCGCACGCGCGCCGGGAGGAGGGGAGGAGGCGGGGCCGACCTCGCGCCCCGCCCAGCGCCGGGGCCCTCACCTCGCCTCAGCACGCGCGGCGAAGATGGCGGCGGCGGCGGGCGGCGGGGCGCGGGGGCGGCGCGGGCGGCTCTGACCGGGCACCTCGGGCGGCGGGGAGCGAGCCCGGAGGGAGCCCCGACAGCTCCGCGGGCAGCGGGAAGCTGGCACAGCCCCCCTCGGGGGGCGGGGGGGGCGGCGCGGAAGGCGGGGGCGCTGCCGGCGAGCCCGGCCGTGAGGGGCAGCGCGCGGGCCGTGAGGGGCAGCGAGGGCGGGTGAACCGCAGCCGGAGGGACGAGGCTCCGCGGCGGGCAGGGCTCGGAGCGGCGGCGGCGCGGGCCGGCGGCAGGGGAAGGAAGGCTGGCGCCCTGCGGCGGGCGCTCGGCGGGCAGGAGGCGGCTGCGCCGGTGGCTCCCCGCGTTCCTGGCGCTCGGCTGCTGGGCGCCCCACGCCATGTTCTCGGTGCTCTCCTACGGCAGGCTGGTGGCGCGGGCGGTCCTGGGCGGCCTCTCGCAGACGGACTCCCGCGACTACAGCCTGGTGACGGCCAGCTGTGGCTTCGGCAAAGATTTCCGCAAGGGCATCCTCAAGAAAGGCATGTGCTACGGGGATGACGCCTGTTTCGTGGCGCGGCACCGCACCGCGGATGTGCTGGGTAAGTGGCCGGGCTGGGGGCTGAGCTGGCTTCGGCCTCGCTGTGTAAACCCCCCCTCCTTCCCGGAGCTGCACATGGCGAGCGGCTCAACCCCTGGTCTCAGACAAAGGAGCTGTTTCTGCCTGTCAGTGTCACCATGAGTTTCCTTTTTTAGCTTCCCAGGGAAGCTCTCGTGCTCTTTGTTGCAGATCTGCCCGCCTTTGGCATGGGGGGTTGTGTGTGCTGGGTGTCCGGGCCCAGACTGGGCGTTTCACTTGTGGGTGCCTGTAAGGCCTGGTGGCTTCAAAACTCAGAGAAACAGCTCCCAGTACGTTTCACTTTCTGTCTTTCTTTAAAACCTAACCAAGCCCCGTGTACACGCATTGCATTTCAGCAGACAAGATCACTTGAACAGGCGCTTCCTGATTTTAACGCGTGCAATGTCCTTGTCAAGTGAAAGGCAGAGTGACATTGAGACTGGAATCAAATGTCAAACTTCAGTTTCGTTGTTTGTTCTGGCCTGATTGCGCTCTCTGGTTTAGAATCACAGGCGAAATGAATCTTAAGGGTTCAAATTTTAAAGAAGTAGTAAATAATTATGGATAATCAATAGAATCTTCAGACTATGGGCAGCATTGCTTTTGACAATGCTTTGACCTTTCTCATGTGTACTCAAGGTTGAATTTGGCTGACTGACACTCTGCACAAGTTAGTTGTGGTGTAACTACCAGAAGCAAATTTTCATCAAAACTTTGACACTTAAAAAAAAAAGCTTCCTCCTCTCTTTCCTGTCTGTGTTCGTTTGAGGTTTTTTTTGCATTTATTTATTTTAAACCGGTGGGGTTGCACTGTGCTATCTTATGCTGTGGAAGTGGTTGGTGATTCTTCAGTTTGGCGCTGTCATTGTAACTTGGTTGCCATTTAACAGAGCCCAGACGTTTTCCTCAGGAAGCTGCAAGTTGGTGCTAGGTAACAGTTATTGCTGGTTATTCTCAAGGGAGCTGTTACTGTAAGAGTGATGCCATCGCTTTCAAGATGTGGAACGTTGGTGGGTGCATTTTAGACACTCTGCATCTTCTCTGTGGTGTCTCTTCCAGATAAACTTTTTGGGATTAGAATTAGCTGTTGGACACCCTTCCTTTAACATGTGACTAACCCTGGCTGCCTTTAAAGTTCATGCTAGGCCAGCACTGATAAATAACTGAGCAATTGGTGTTTGCCCTTAAAAGAAATGCAAGATCTCCTGTACTTTGAAGTGGACTCTGTGTGGGGAAGGGATAGATTTAGCCCCATTTGATGGTGTTTAGGGGGTTTTGGCCATATTTGGTAGTTACTGTATGTGGACCTACAGTTTGTCTTGTGTTCCTGCTGGAATCAACAGAGAGCTGCATTTCTAAGTTGGTCTTTGCATTAATTTTCATGGCAACTTGGAAACAAACAGAATTGTAGCTCCACTTAAGGATCAAACAGCAAAGAGGGCAGCAGACCTAGGATGTCTTAAGTACCAAGAAGCAAATAATTTAAATAGAAAACCTCTTGGTTTATATGGTTTTGGGATTTCTCCCTTGGTAAAGCTATTTTTTTGTCAGTTCTTCATTGTTTTTGTAATATACATACTGAAGACCCAAAATCTCTGTATTTTCTGTAAAAACAAGAATGTTCAGGTGGGATTTGATGCTTCTAACTTGATGCTTTTTGTTCTTCATCTGTAGCTCTTAGGTTTACAAACATAGTAATTTTCTCCCAGTTTCTACTGCTGGGATCATCTCTTTACTCTCTCAACCAGCCTTTTTGCACTGCTGCAGGGACAGTTTCAGCACCACCAGTGTTTTCCTGCCCTCAAGTCCTCTTACTCCCATCACAAATCGGAGGCTCTTAATGATTTTTTTTTAAGACACTCATAAATTTTGTGCTACCTCAGTACCTAACTCTGCACCTCAACAAAACTTCATGAGCTGCACTGTTGGGTTTCAAACTTAATTTTTTGACATTTAAGGAAGAGGCTCAAATGGTTTGAGCCAAAGTGAACGCTTTGACACAGTAAATTTCAAGTGTATCACTTGGGGTGAGTAGTCATCAGTGACAAAGCCAGTCTACATAATTAATGTAAAATTCCTTTGTGCCAGTGTTTTCTAGAACCAGTCTATTATGGAAAACCTGCCTGTGTGGGATGGATTGGGTGTGGTGGAGCAGTGAAAGAACTACTCCCAGCCTTTTGGCATGAGTGCTTGGGGATTCATTTTCTTAGGTCAAACAAGAGTTGACTTGGCGGCATGTTTATAGCAGAATCAAATTCTAAACACTTCTTTTGTTCTATGTGTGCTGTATAGTTCAAAGGCGGAATGTTTAACAGTGTCTTTTAGTCTGAGCTTTATCCTTTCACAGTAAGATCAGCAGAGAGCTGGTGAAGATTCAGGTTATTTCCAGTCCTCCCATAGTTGTTCAAGGTTTGATAAGGCCTGTTATTGGTGTATTTGAATCCTTGAGGGTTTTGTCTCTCATTTTTGCTTTTATCTGGAACATACCTGTCAATTTTTTGTGTCTTCTTCCCATTCTGAACACAGGGAAGCTCAGAACAGTTTTTCCTTAGGGATCACCCTAAGGAAATGGCTTTACTGCTAATGTTAATCTCTAGAGCTTTACAATTCACTCCTGTGCTTCCTTTCTCTGCTGCTTGTACCATGATACACTTTTTTGTTCATTCACTGCCAGTGTCTTGTGTGTTCAGATCCTCAGAGTACTGAAATCTCTCACAGAGATTTTGGAGACATTCTCTACTGCTTTGTGTCTGATGCCTTTGGAACTTTTGAGGACAGAAATACTGTTTTTTTTCAAAGCTGAAAACCAAAACTCCAACACCTCTGTTTTTTCTCATTAGCATGCAAGTAGGATTTTTACTATATAGGGAACCAGCCAAATTTTTAAAATTAACTTAAACAGTTTTATAGCCGTTTCACTAATTTACCAAAAGTAAACGTTAAAGTCAAGGTTTTCACCTCTAGAAATTTTGAGGTGTCACATACTGGTGATTGTTTTTTTCCGTAATTTTGGGATTTGCCTTTTCTTGCTTGTTCTAGCCTTATCAGGCTCCTGATGTCTTTGTTCGTTTTTTATGGGTTTTCCAAGCTGTTGTGTGACTCATTATTGAAACATTGCAGCAGCCAATGCGCATCCCGTGACAGCATCACTTATACAAGGTCTGTGCTGGGTACAAGTTTGGGTGTAGCCAGTGTGACTTGACTCTTCCAAACTATTTCTTTCCCCCAGGAGTAAGGAAAAACTGACAGGCAGCAGGAGGCTGTTTCTTCGCTGCAGAGTTAAAATTTGACAATTGTTCTATTTGCTGCAAATCTTGATTTTTAGTTTTTGGGGGGAGGGGAATGTCTGGGTGCTGCAGGGCAGCAACTCTAAAGTGAAAGGAGCTGCACTTGGTCTGAAAATTTTGTCAGCAGCCTGCACAGGAGGTAGGTAAAACTGCAGAGTGACAAAGCCCTGGAATATTGTTAGTGTCATTGTCATCAGGAAAAGTAAACTTCAAAACCTAAAAGGATTTGTAGATGAAATGTCAAGGTTCTGGCAGCTGTAGAGGAGGAAGGGATCCGTCCTTGGACACTTGAAGGTTATAGAGGACGATGTTAAGTGGTTTATTTGGTATCATACCTATTAAAGAGATTGCTGCCTTATCACAACTTATCACACTAAAGGAGCTGAGAATCGACGCCTCCCTCGGAATCACCTTTCACCTACTGCGAGTGAGCTGCGGTGCCTGAGAGGCAGCAATCACAGAGCTCCAGAGCTGCATGCATGTCTTCGTTTGTAACAGCTCACAGGAAATTTTCTGTTTAACATGGGAGCATCAGTGCTGCCATTTGTAGGGAAACTGCAGATTGACAACCACCCCATTAACAGTCACTGGCTGACTTTCTTGTCAGCAGAGCTGCTCTGGAGCAGCACTGAATGTAACCTCTGAGAATAAAACTTATATCTGGATATTCTTTTTTCCTGCAGTTTCTGCAGGGACATTGCACACAAGTATTCAGGTCACAATTTCCAGTTGAACACTAGTTTTAACTGTAAATGCTATTGATGCTTGTTGATGGCAGCCAGTTTTCCATTCATACAAGGATCTTGGCCTGAAGGGAGAGCAGATTCTGTCAGAAATCAGAGGGAAATCAGCAAAGCTGAGCACAGTGCAGGAGGTGAGGGTTACTCATACCTATGCCATAGGAAGCATTGGAAAAATCTCCTGCTCTTTGCTCTGGTTCATCCATGCTGTGAATACTGAGCCTGAGATGGGTCAGGCTGGCAGGGATTTATTTCAGTGTCTGCCCCCAGTGCCTGTCCTTGCTCATCAGTTCCACAGTCACTGAAAACCTTGAGAAATTAGGTAGTTGCAACTAGGGAATTTTTTATAAAGCCTGCAGAAATAATTTATAGTTTAGTGTTCTGCTGGAGCTCCCCAAATGTGTGATTTCTCAGGCTTCAATAAAATAGGGAGGTAGTCTACCTAGTAAAAATGTGCTTCAGGAACAAGTGTGCTGTAGCAGGGAGGGGGAAATAGATATAAGGAACTGTTGCTTTCTTCTGGGAGTAGATGCTCAATTTAATATTTCCAGTTCTGTGTTTCTCCTTCAGTTTGTTCCTCAAGATCATTGTTCACTTTGCCTTTGCTTTTTGCTCCTTGTTGTCACTTACCCAGTGTTACTCTTCCAGAACCTTTCTGTTTCATGCAAGGGTAGTTTAAGTTTTACTGTAACAGTGTGAATAAGTAACCTTTCCTTCTGTAACTTGTTAGCAGTCACACACCATCTGCCCTTAGGGATTTGTATTTAACTGGGTTATTTCTTTGTCAGAACCTTGAGGGGGATAGACACCCTTTGGCTCTAACACATCCAGGGAAGCTGCTGAGGGTCAGTGCTGGCTTTGAGCACTGGACTTGCTTTAGGTGGAGAACCTGTCTAGGTGTGTGATTTATCCTACCACTGATAAAACAAGAAATCTTATCATTTTATCTCAGTTCTGACGTTGACAAATACTAGGTGCTATATTTCAAACTTGTGTGGTGTAAGTCATTGCATTTTTTTACCATTTTAGTCTCCATATTTGATGCAAAGTTCAGTTATAAATACGTCCTTTTGATGTTCTTTTAGCAGTGATTCATTGCTATTTCAGGTAAGGATCTCAAGAAATTGAAAGTTCAGTAGGATGTGTGGAGTGCCTTAAAAAGTTAATTGTGGTTGCATGCAAAAGCAGCTCCTGCTGACACACTTGTGCCTGCCTGGTGCTTCTCTGTGTGATTTTTGTTCTTGGCTGATGCAATATTTCAAAATGTCCAAGTCTCCAGAAATTTTTGGGATAGGGTGGTACTTTTGGACTCTGACCATGGGCAGGTTAATTTCTCTGCTAACCAGAGCTGCCCCTCATAACATTATTTATATTAAACAGGGTTTGATCAGTATCAAGGCTTTGTTATGAGCTTTCAGGCTGTTTAGTTTATATTTGCTGTGAGCTAGGCAGAGCACCTGGATCTCACACTAGTGAGTGGTGAAAAGCAGATATTGCTGCTTTCAGCACTGGCTGGTTTTCCCTGGCCTTCTGCAGGGAACTCATGTGCTGGCAGGCAAAACAATTTCACATTTGCATTTCAGCTGGTATCTTATCCCAGGTGCTTTTAGCATTTTGAAATCAGCTTTAACAAGTTTCACTGCCAGCATCTTTCCTGGCTCAGTTTCAGTGCTGCTGCATCAGTCATTTGTGCTTTGTCTTATAACTTTATGACAGGAGAGATTTTGATACTCTGAATCTTGGGGGAGTTGGAAAAAGTCAGTTTTTGGATTAGCACATGCAGCAAGTATTTTATCTGGCAGGCATATTTCTGTATTTTCCAGCACAAGGCAATGCAATGGAGTGTTAACGCTGAGATTCTGAAAGATCTCAGTTAAATACTTGAGAAGTATTTATTCTTTTGAAATAATTTATTGTGAAATTTTCAATTGCTTTATTTACAGTGGTGGTTCATCTGGCTGCAGGCATTGCATTGTCACATGGATGTTTGTGTTATTTCTGCATCGACTTGAACAGGGAATAGCCACAGAAATGTTCTTTCTATAAAATTTTCTCATTTACTGAATGGCATGAATGAAAAAAAAACCCAAGGTCTGTGTACAGTTTCAGCAATTGTCAGCCATGCAGTTTGTTTTAAATGTCCTGTGATTCCTAATTTATGACATGGCTAATTCTAGAGCAGAATGGTTTATAGCTCAAAAGAAAACCCCTCTGTATTTGTTGAAAAGATAATTATTTTGAATATATACCTTATTTGTTCTTGGATGAAAGTGAAGGTATTAAATATAAATAGAGCTTGGCATTATTCCTTGGGAGTGATCTTGCCAATGGCAACACCTTTGAATTTTCTTTTTATGGCAGAGGGAAAACCTGGTATTAATCAAAGCTGAATGTTTAGTTTTTGCTACTTCTGCAATTTGAAACAGTTTTGCTCCTTTTTTGCTGTATATCAAATAGCACAAAGTTGACTTAAACTTTATTCTCATTTACATTTCATCTATTTCAGTAGCAGTTCACTCAAACTGTTTCAAAATCACATATTCCTTTCCCACGTGAAACTGTTCAGTTTACAGAGATTGCAGAATGTGAAGGTGCTGGGTGTATTTTAAAACCATATTGAAGGTAGGACAGGATGATTAAAGGTCTTGGCCCCAAACCTTTATAAACTCCCACCTTTTCCATTTGGGAAAAGGCCAAGAAATAGAGTTGGTAGCTGCTGAGGGGTTGTGGAGGTGGTACTGAAATGAGCCCCCAGGGGCACTCCTGAATGCAGTGGTTGTGTCAGCCTGGGGTGCAGTGGGGAGCCAGCAGAGCTGTCCTGGTGCTGTGGGACTGTGTCCTCACAGGTGTGGTACCAAGCAAAGCCAGAGGAGCTGCTGGGGGATGTCTAGAGGGTGATTGCTTTGGAAGGCACTGGCAAAACCTACTTAAAGCTGTTTATAGCTTGCAAAAAGCAGACAGGAAGGCAGACAGACAAAGGCAGTGCATGGCTCAGAGTATATGAAGGGTGCTGCCATGGTTATGGATTCACATTTCCTGCCAGGAGTAAGAAATGAACAAAGAAAGTCAGATGGTGTACTCATTTTTCCTTTAAAAATTGAATAGGTTTTTATAATTGACCTTCTCAGGTGCTTGCTGTGATGGCTTTCTGGTACTCTGTGCTAAAGCTGCAGTGTTTGTGTTTCAGTGTTTCCCAACACTGATGTAAAAGGATTTTCTGGATCACTTGAGGGAACTCCATAACTTCTGCCGAGCTTTCTTTGTAACCGCCTTGGGAGCCAAGAGCTTTGGGCAGCATTTGTCAAACATCTTTTCAGTGCATTAACCCTCTTGTCAGCAAAGCATTGCAGAAATACATCTGGACTATCTTCATTTTAAAGGGAAGGAAGAAAAACATTTTTCTGATAACTTCACATAAAGCACCATCCTTTAACTTGAAGCTGAGTTTCTGTTTCAGGTTTCAGATCTAGAATCTTTCCTTTATGATCTCTTATTCTAGACTTGTCTGTGTGGAAGTAGAAAGCAAAAGGTTAATCCAGTATTAACCTGAGGTTGTGAGACCTGTAGGGAGAGGATTAATCTGTTCTGGGAGAATCTAGAAAAGTCATTTCTGAGAATGCTGGGTGCTTTAGCATGGACTTCTTCCAGGGGACTGCTTGAAGAGGTGAATGCAGGGATCTGCATTCCTGTAACATTCTTCTGAGAAAGCAGAGGGACAAAGCAGGTGTCTAAAAGGTTGTGCACTATTTTAGGGAGAAATCTGATTAATGTTGATAGGCTGTTCAGTATCTGGCTATAACCTCCTGTCAGATTATAGTTCACACCAAGGTCGGGTCTAAACCTTCCGTCTCAGTTTCAGACCATGTCCCATGTGAAGGGCGTTTGGAGATGAGGAAATTGAGTTTTTTCTTCTCACTGGCATTTCCATGCCTTTGATAATAGTGGAGTTTTTTTCCTGAGGAGACTGTCCTTCAGCAAAATCTGAGCACTGAAATTCACTTTTTATGCTTTTATCATGAACATATTTCAGCTTTACTGTGTTTTGCAATTCTCTGCTTAGTTTGTCCCATGCTGAGGATCAAAAAAATTTCCACACAGTAACATTCTAATCTCAAATAATACCTTCAGCAGTATTTTGCTTTTATCATTTAGGCAATTGGAAGAAGTTCAAAGTTCTTGAACCCAATGAGCAGCAGAAAATGTGTCTGCTGCTCACCTCCCTCTGATCACCCCCTTTCCATGACCAGCAGTCACTGGTTTCCCTGTTGCTTAGAAGCTTCCCAGGCTTTGGCAGAATTGGTCTAATTTTCTGATATCCAGGTTGTTTTGAATAACGGAAAATTCTCTGGATCATAGTCAGTTTTCATTCTCTTGCTTGGCTGAAGCTGTAAGCAACAAACTCTCCTTGAAAGGGGTAGGTCCCAGCATTGTGTTGGTTAGATGGATTTTGGAAAACACTTGTAAAATGGAGATTTATTTTCTACAGAAATTGAAAGCACCAAATAGAAATCATTGTCCTTCATATGAGGAGGTAGTCTGAGAAAAAACTGTGCTGCTGTATAGCAGGAACAGTTTCTGTGTCATTTCTGTACTAGTTAAAATGTTGACCTTCACTTTTAAAATTAATTAAACCTCTTCCCTTTTAATGGACTGATAAGAGGCTAATGGGATTTAATCTCCATCTTACCCCCAAATATCCTATTATTTGCTCACTACTGGAGTCAGCCTCCTCATTCTCAGCATTAGACTTCTACCTTTCTTTCAGCAATTCCAATTATATTTGGAGATTTGTCTGGGAGCTGATATCAGAAGTTATCTTAAAAATACTCAGAAATTTATTTGTTAATCCAAAATGTTTTCCAGGCAGGTGCCATGTCCTACATTTTAGCTACTAAATATCATAAGTGATGTAAATAATGAAACCCCCTGATTTGAAAACCATTTCTGTTTAGCTAACTCGGCTTTTGTGTTTCCTTGCAGGGGTGGCAGATGGTGTTGGTGGCTGGAGAGACTACGGGGTTGACCCTTCTCAGTTCTCAGGGACTCTCATGCGGACATGTGAACGTTTAGTAAAAGAAGGACGGTTTGTTCCAAGCAATCCTGTTGGAATTCTCACTGCAGGCTATTGTGAGCTGCTGCAGAACAAAGTACCTTTGCTTGGTAAGACACCAAAAATATGTCAGTTCAATCTGGGTTGTGTGTTACACGTGGCCTTACTGAAGGGTGCTTGAGTCTCTTGTCATTGTCTACAGCAAATGTGCAGGCAGTTAACTTTTCTTAATTAACTGAAAACATAGAAATGGAGTTGCCTTGCTGGCATCCTTATTTTCTCTAAAACTGTTTTAATTAATTTAGTAATGCAGGGGGTGTTGATGAGTGTGTATTTATATATAAAATAAAAGGCTTTCTGTGGGAAGGGTGAATTCACCAGTGTTTGCAGAGAGAGTTCTGCAGTGGAACACACTGTGCACATGTGCTTGCTCTGTATTGTATATGTATAAATAACTGTTCTCTGCTGAAAACTCTTCATGGTACTGATTGTGGCTTTCTGCTTCAGCTATGCAAGGAGAAATATTTTCTGAGAATAATTGGATGTAGTTCTGCTCATTCCTGGCCTTACTCTGCTCCCGTTGCCTTTTATGTCCAGTGGACTCAAACCCCAGTTGGTTGACTTGAGTAGTTCATATCATACAATCTCTGGTAGCATTATTTTTGTAAATCTTTGTGGGGGGATTAATTACAGATCTTTCTGAAAGCAAACTGAAGTAAATGCTTCACATAATCTGTGTCAGTAATGATGGGACACAGGGCATTCAGCTGCCTGGGGACTGGGAGCAGATAGGGAGGCCACACTTGGTCTCAGCTGACAGCTCTGCCAAGGGAACACTTCTCTAAAGGACATGAGACCTCTTCTGCACCAAGAGAGTGTTTGCCCTGCACAAAATGCACGCAGCTCACCTGACCTTAAGCTCCTGTGCCAGAGCAGTGCTGTGTGAGCTATATTTAACTTGTCTGCTGAGCTGGGAGCAGATGTTCTCGCATTATATGCCTAAAGAATAGGTTGGAACCTCAGGAGTGACCTTAAGTGTCACGAAAATAGCAGTGGTCAGTAATTACATTAGGATTTGGTGTGTTGAACGGTGCTTATTTGTGCAAAGCAGCTGTAGCTGTAAGTGAGCTCCAAAGTGGGGCACTGGCGAGAGCTCTCCCTGTGCCTTTGGAGATGGAGCAGCTCCGCTAGGCTTGACCTTTGCAGTGCTGAAAAGCAGCGTGTGCTGAGTCACAAGATCTGCATTCCACACATGGCCTCCTGGTTACACTCTGCTAATAGAGTTAGAATTTGAAACTAATGATCCTTACTGTTTCTCCTTTAACTGAGGACAGTATTTTTAGAAGGAGGAATAAAGTCTTGGAATTACCACAGCAATGAGCATTTAGAGTTTATTTAAAATAAAGGGGCAGGAGAAGACTTCATTGAGGAGGATTCATTAGGCAATAACTTCTCCTTGCTGTTGAGCTTTAAGCATGGATACTTGGTTCATCAGCATTGAATCCAGCAAATAATATAAAACTGAAATGGGAGGAAACTGTGTAATTTATTTAATCACTCTTGTGTTGCAGCACAGTTTTGGACACTGTCACATATAAAATCAAGATTTTTTTCCAGAGATACTTCTTTGACTTAACATTCATTAAGGATGGGGAAGGTCCTGTGTGTTCACTAGAGAACAGATTCAGGGCAAGTGCATTGCAGGGAACTCTATATTAGAAAGAGAATTGTCTGGAACAGGCAGTGCCTGGAGCCAGCTGGACTTCTGCACTAGCAAGCCTGATCCTAAGCTTTGCTCACTGCAAGCTTGTGGTCTGTCCAGCATGGAGCTGTGCTTGGAAAATCCTGCTGGAAGAACATGAGGGGAGAAGGTGAAGACAGTTCACAAGCCCATGACATGGGGCAGAAGTGCTGTAGCTGTGTTTCCCCCTCTTGGGGATTGAAAGGTCTTTTGGTGGCTGTGCTGTCCTGTCCTATTTGCAGAGCTGAGCGATTGCTGCTTGCTGTGAAGGACTTGGGTTTCTTTGCAATACAGCATTTTTGTGGCTTGCAACCAGGCACAGTTGGTGGCTACTTCCCAGTGAATGAGTGGAGAATTCCTCAGTGCCCTCAAGCATGGCTGGGATAGTTCCAAGCACAGTTGACATCATGTATTTTGCTATTACTTTAATTTGGAAGAGTATTTGTCTCTGAAACATTTTCTTTTTCTTAAATTTGTGGAGTTGGTGTCCTGAGGATGTGACAGGATTATTATTTTTTGAACCTGAAGCAAGCTCTGAAGAGCCAGGCTGGAAGGAAAAGCATTTCATGTTCTGAGCAGAGAAATGCAGCAGGACCTAATACTTAATTGCAAACAGGTTTTTACTTGGTGTGGTTTATTTACAGCTGATGAGTGAAACTGTGTGGAGATCTCCTAGCATTGTATGGATGCTACTAGAATTCTATTATCTCCATGATTTCGGAAATTCAGTATTTTATGTGAGTTCTGTAAATCCGGTCCTATAGCAGAATGTGCTGACATATGTTGGGATGGAAAACTGTAAATAAAGCCAAACAAAACAGGTATTTGTCAGCATAATGTGTTTACCAAAATCAAAGCAGGAAGAGTAAATTCTACACAAAAGTCATAGCTTGTATTGCAAAGATTTCTAGCATTTTGCTCGTTTTATTTTATATTAATTCTGCCATTATTGAGTATTTCCATTTCTCCTGACTTTTAAGCTTTGATGAATGTTGCAATTTTTTGAATTATTGATCAGATCAGTGAGAGAACAAGCAGTTTCTGTAAGGCTGACTGCAGTCACTGTGTTTTCAGGGAGCAGCACAGCTTGTATAGTAGTCCTGGACAGATCAAGTCATCGTTTACATACAGCCAACTTGGGAGATTCTGGATTTTTGGTAGTCAGAGGTGGGGAAGTCGTCCATCGATCCGACGAGCAGCAGCATTACTTCAACACTCCCTTCCAACTGTCTATAGCTCCACCAGAAGCAGAAGGAGTTGTCTTAAGTGACAGGTAAGGGGGAAGAGGAACCTTAATTTTTAATCTATGCATGTGATCAGCTCCCAAAAAGTTGTAGTTTTGCTGCTGTGGGGCTCTTCTGTACCACATAGGATATAAACACGTATCCAGTCAGGTCCTGCACCTGCCACCCTCCCTCTTTGGGTAACATGAACATTTCTCACCTTGTACTACTTAACTTTGTACCTGTTGCACAGTCTGAATTTATTGGGCTATTCATGGTGGCGTATTCCCATAGCCATGGGCTTCTTCTGATCCATGGGAAGATGTCACCCACTATAGCTGTTGTGTGGACAAGTGGCTGGACTTCCCAGCAGAACTTTGGTTCCAATCCCTGCCTGTACTCCCTTGGGACTGTTTGGAGTAGCTAATTTAGATATCTTGGCACTGAGGTTGCAAGTGCTTGAAGAATAGAGCAGAGGGACATGTGACTGTAACTTGTGTTTCCAACTTGCTGTTTCCAGCAGCATATTGTATTTGACCAAAACCAGCAAAAAAACTGTTTGGCAGAACACCAAGCTGGGAATGAGAGTATGAGGAAAGGACAATCTGTTCACAGAAATGAGTTGTTTCAAAGGCAGGCTTGTTCTTGTGTCTTCCCTTAGGAATGTCAGGCTGATCCATCCTGACTTTGTGAAGTCTCACCAGTAATATGAAATAAACTCAAAAATAAACAGCTTTCAAATATGTGTTAAAATGCAGCTTTCAAAATGTCTCACTCATTAAAGTGATATCCCCCATCTGAATATAAGGAGATGGTAACAGGATCTTCAAAGAGTGGCCATGGAATAAAGGGAGTGCAGTAGGCAGCTGAAGGTTTGGACTCAGCGAGCTTGAGTCTTTTCCAACGTAAATGATTCTGTGCAGTATCAGGGCTGATGCAGTAAAGGTTGAGACTTTAATCCAAAATAGCTCTTTTTGAAAGTGTTGGTTAAGCTGTTGAAACTCCTGACCGTTCTTGTGTGTGGTTTTCTTTCTTCATCCTGCAACTGCTGAGAGGAAGCCAGGGTAGGACTCTGAAATTAGAACCCTTTCAGTAATCCAAGTTCTTTGTTAGACGAAAATTAAATGATCTCTTGAAATTCCAGAGCTGTAAAAAATCTTTAATTTTCTGAGATTCTCTGTCATCTGTAGGAAGACCATAAAAACAAAGAGCAGAAAGATAATTGATAATGTCCAGTGGAAGTCAGGGAGGCCAAGTAATCTGAGTCATCCAGTAATAAGGAAAGCACAAGATAAATGTGCTCCCACACTTCAGCTCTGAATCATGATTACAGCTTTCTGGCTGGTTCCTGCACTGTTCCTGACGTTAATTAGTACTCATGCTCCTTGTCGAAACACTTCTCCTGTCCTTTTTTATTTGTTGTCCCAGTTCAGTGATGAATTTGGCTATATATGGGCATAGGCAGGCAATCTTAACTCCTTCAGCCTTCCTGAAGCTACACATCAGTTGAGCAAAGCAGCTCCTCTGTGTTTTGGCAGAGCCCAATGGCCTGGGATGCAGTGATTTCTCCTTTTTACAGACCCCTGAAGAGTCTTTAAAAATTAAAGGTTTGTTGTTATGTAGCTTCTGAGAATCAGATTTTGCAGCAATATTCGTGTCCAAACTGGGTGTTTTCTCCTCTTGGTGTTGTGTAATGTGTTAGACACAAGCATTCCAACAGACTCTGGTCTCCTGGTAGTGATTTCCAGACATTGAATTAGAAAGTCATTCAGAATCCTGAAGTGTTTGGGCCAGGCCTGTTATTAATTGTTCTTTCAAGTATCACTCTCATATCTTCAAGATGAGCAGAAGAAAGCCCTGAGCTACCATTCTGTTTACTGGTTTCCATGGAGACACACTCCTGGAGGAGATTAGTTTGCAGCATTGTTCATGAGGGAATTTTAACTGCAAATCCTGGGTGCAGGAGCTGGACCAGGACCTGTTTGCAGTCACAGAGTCTGTGGTGGGACTTTCCTGACATCCCAGCCTGGTGCTAAAACTCCACAGGGAGTGATTATTCCTTTATCTTGCACAAACCCCCAAAGAGCAGTGAAGTGCAGAAGCTGTGGATGTGCTGTTTGAGGTTGTTTGGTGTCTTTGTGAGGGCTGGAGTCCTGTAAGCTCTGTCCATCCCCAGCCCCGAGGCTGCTGACAGCACGTCCTTCGATGTCCAGCTTGGGGACATCATCCTGACCGCCACGGACGGACTGTTCGACAACATGCCTGACTACATGATCCTGCAGGAGTTGAAAAAGCTGAAGGTGAGTGTGTGTGTCCTCAAGCTCTCACAGCTTTTGTACTGGCTAAACCTTTCTAGTTGCTACCTTTACTTCTAATACCTGAAACCTTTGTGTTTTATGTAAGAACCCCATTACAAAGTGCTGTATCCTTAAAAGGACTTCCAGGTGAATACCCCACGTGAGCAGCACAAGGGACATTGACCCTAGAGGGCTTTCTCTTGGATCTGCATCCAGGCTGAATCCAGAAGTAGCAGCTTGGGCATAAATTTCCCAAGTAACAGCTGGTTCCATGTCAGTAACTGGTGAGGGAGGAGGAGGGAAGGAGATGTTCAGTAGCAGGTGCTGCCTTTGGCCACACACTGCACCTGCAGGTTGGAGATGATACACAGGGAAATGGAGAATCCTCTCCTGGGTTACTTGAGGGTGGGCTTACACTTAAAATAAATTTCAGCTTCTCTAACCAGTAATTCTGACATAGTATGGGCTGTCTGAATTGCGGGTTGCACATGCTTGAAAATCTTCAGTGTTCTGTGAAAAAAAATATCCTGTCAACTTTTCCACATTAGTGACCACAAATGTTCTTTTTAAATAGTAAGAATACGTGAAAATACTTTAACTTGGCTGAGAACATTTAGCTTCAGGCTATTTACTTACAGAAAGGAAAGTACACTTAAGGAGATATCAATATGTATAAACTCCTTGAGGAAACTATTTTGCTGTGAAATGCAAATAAGAGAATTACAGTGTGGTTTGAAGAGAATTTGGCCTCCTCTTATCCTGCAGCTCCACAGGTCACTAGTGTGTCACTGGGGCTGAAGCCACCTCACACCCTTGTCTGTGCACAGGGCAAGGCTGTCCTGGCTGGCCACTGGAGTTGGAATTCCCTTGTGGAAGAAAGCTGAGCTCCACCTTTTGGCGCGTTTGGGAAAGGCACTGGAGTTCCCCAAGAGGTTCAGCCAAAAGTTAATCACATAAATGCCTGCTAATTCCCAAACCTGCGGGGAAGGCTCTTGAAATGACAAGGCATTTAAAAATGGTTACAGACGAAAAGAGCAGTGATTGTCTGTCATGTTGGCTTGAGTGAGAAAAGCCTGGGAGGAAAGCAGCAGAATTACTGAAGCAGGGAAAAAAATGTCCTTAAAACACAGCCTGGAGAAGGTGTGTGTGCTCTCAGTGCATTTTTCTCATCTGACTCTGAAGTGCCCCTTCTCCCCAAGGGTGCTCTTGGGGTGAGAGAGCCAGAGGTGCAAGACTTGCACTCAAGATAAAACAAATACTTCAACAGAGCCTGCCTGGGAGGGAGGGAAGGTCCTTGCAGGGTGCACTGCAGAGACAGCTGCCAAATGCCCTGTTCCCTTCAGGTGACATGGTTTAGTCTGCTTTGAGTATTATTCTTCTAAGTTTCTAAATTCTGGAAATGCTCCAAACCCAGCCTTGAGCTGGTGGGGATTTGAGGTCTGGCTGTCCCTGGTGAAGATCCACAGTTATAACCCAATTTACAAAGCCTAAAGAATGGGGAAGGCTCTGTTTGCAATGAAGGATCTCCAAACCTGACATGGATCAGCACAAAAACTTCTGTAGACACCTGAATAAGAATAAACTTCTTTCCTCATGAATTTAGAACTCCAACTACGAGAGCATCCAGCAGACTGCACGGAGCATTGCTGAGCAAGCCCACGAGCTGGCTTATGACCCCACGTACATGTCACCCTTTGCACAGTTTGCCTGTGACAACGGATTGAATGTCAGAGGTGAGAGCTTCTCTTCCTCCTGCTGCTGCTGTCTTGGAGAGATCTTTAGCAAAGTGAAATTCTGCTGTTCCAAAATCCTGTAGGAAAACAGAAGAGTAGCAAATGTGGTTGGCAGGAGAGCACCAAGCTCGTGTGGGATTTGGCAAAGCCCCCAGGGTCTGCACAGGCCATCATGGCCCCAGAAGAGCAGGAGCCTCCCATGGGGAAGCAGCTGGAGCATGGAGAACACAGCGCCCTGATTGTTCTATTTTTAATGTAATCTGTGCATTTCTGCCCCAGGAATCCTGCCTGAGATGAGTTCTCCAGTACTCCTGTACTTACTTGTTGCTTGGATTCGGGTGTGTGGGTGGTGTGTGAGGGTTTTTTGTTTGGGGTTTTTTTAAGGTCTCATCTTACTGCTGTGTTTCAGCTGAGGTTCTGCCCACTCTTTGGTAGATTTGGGATTGGTTTTTTTAGTTGAAATTTGCAACTCTTGTATCATTGGCATCCCCATACTGATCTGTCTGTTGGTTCTACTTCTGTGCTTTAGAAAGGCATTGGGAAAACACCTGGCAGACCTCAGAGCCCGAGCAAACATCTTTCTTTTAACAATTTTTTACTTTTAAATAAACAAATAAGTAGAATTCTGCCAGTAAAGATGTTCTCATCTCTGTATCAGAAGGGCAGGATTTCCTGCAAGAACCTTAAGCCCCTTTCCTCAGGTAGCAGCTGTCGCACTTGGGCTCTGTGTTGCTCCAAGCTCAGTCACTCAGTAATGAAGCTGCAGATCTCCAGACTCCAAGGGATTGCTTTAACTTCCCACATAACAAAACCTCTCTTCTGGGCCATTTCTCCAGGATTTGAATGTGTTGCTCTGGCTGTTGAGGATTGAAAAATAACTATTAAAAATGTTAAGTGGCTTCTAGGAAGACCTGAAGTAATACAGTGCTGGAGAAGATGCTAAAGAGGTGTTGTTTGATTTACAGTGGAAATTCCTGAGGAGATCTGATTTCATGGCTGTTTACATGTAACAAAGCAGTGTCAGGTGTTTTGTGCATTTATTAAAGAGTCTGCTGAGAACAGGCTTTGTGCTCTGCCAGCTACCAGCAATGTTCAAGGTTCTGACCTCCTTTTCATAGTTTGATCTCACTGGAGCTTGAAAGGAGAGTGGTTTTGTGCTGTGTTAAATGTCACTGCACCCCTCGGTTTGGAAAGGAGGTGGGGGAGGCAGAGTTTGTGGCTACTCAAACCGGGTTTTGAACACTTAAACCACTTTTAAAGAGCTCTCCATGGGGAATGTCACAGATCATAAGAAGACAGCCCACTGTGGTTTGATGAAATAAGAGGTTTTTGCTTCCATTGCAGGGGGGAAACCAGACGACATCACCGTCCTTCTTTCCATCGTAGCCGAGTACACAGACTGAGGTCCTGGTGCTGTCCGAGCTGCCCCCGGCCGGTTTCCTGCTGGCAGGATTGTTCCTTCCTCCCCAGCTGCTCCGGGCAGCCGGCCCTGAGCCCGGAGCCTGGCCCGAGACGCAGCTGAGGCCCTTTCTAAGAACCACTCGTAGCCCACTGGTCTTGGTCTGCCAGCAAGAGATGAAGATGCTCAAGGCTTGGAGCTTTTCTTTGAGAGCTTAGTCCTTGTCCGGAGCAGGGGAGGATCCATCCCACAGCCTTGCTGTGCTGCCGATGTGACTTTCCAAGGAGTAGAATTGGTTGATCACCTTTCAAACTAGATCAATAGGTAACGCCTCCGCACGAGGGCATATTACTCTATTTCCTAGGAACGTTCGCTGTTGTTGAGGGTGTGTTACAGACCCAGTTCCATAAAGCATAGTCTTGTTCCAGTGATAGCCGAGGTTTCGTGTTTCTGAGCTCCGGTTTTCAGGAGATTTATAACTGCTGTAAACATTCTGCTCTTGCCATCCATGGTGTCAGCCTTAGGAGCCTTTTCTAGTACGAGATTTCAAACAAACCTAGTTCAAGTTATATGGATGCAAATGTGTTTTGTGATTTCAGGTGCTTAACTGTGATCTTAAAAGTTCTGCAGATCATTCGTCCATAATGGGCCTGGTTCTGGATGTTTTGGCTGTGGATAATTATTATTTTTTTTTTAAACAAAAATTCTAGCTCAGTCTCAAACAGCCAAGCTGGCCACACTTAAGGTCTTTCAGCATTTGAACCCATCTCAGCGTGGGATGATGGTAAATGCTACGGTGGGAGGTTGCACAAAACAGCTCATCCTCAATCCGAGCGTCTTCACTTCGGGTAGATAATTCTGTTGTTGATATAAAACATAATTTGTGTTAATAATTGCCACTCTTGCTTGTAGAACAGAATATGCTGCACCAGTTTAAGTCCAGTTGATCCTTTCTGACTCAAACAGGCACCTCTTTGCTTCTGCTGCAGCAGCGGCAGCGAGTACGAAAATGGAAACTTAATGAAAATAATCAGCAAAGCTTACATTTCATTTTAACTAAAGTTTAGGGTTTTCAATGATCCTTAATGATGTTTACAGTTATCTAACAGCCACTTTGCAATATGACATTTCCTTTTCAATGACAGTAGCTCACGTTTGTCCCCCCTTTTCCAGCCAGCTTTCCTTTTCTTTTCCTGAGGCTCATGTGAAAGCTGAGAGCTGTAAAGATATATATATTTTTGGTCAGTTTTTCATTAACTTTTTTGCTGGTAGAGAAGTATGTAGAAATAAATTAAAGCCATGTTTTTATATATAAAAAGTCGGGTAATGTTGCTGTTTAGGTGAGTGCAGTTAAACTTGGTCAGTAAGGAATCTTACCTGCTCTCAAGAGGAGATTTTTACTACCTGGTTTATTGTATTAAAACTGTTTAAGTTTGAGGTTACCTCAACTTGTTTAAAGAATTTTTGTGGACTTGTACTGTATATTTGCGTAACTATGTCAAGCTTTTATTTAAGGTCATTTAACATGTACCATGTACATGTCATTTTACTATATTTCAGTGCATCATGCTTGTAACAGGCATTTCATTTATAATAAGTGATTAATTTGGGAGCTCTTCAGTAATTTATCTGCTATTCCTCAATTGGCATAATGTTAGATATCTACTTTAAATCACCTTGTAATTACTCGTCAAAATGCCTTAACTACCCTAACTTGACCAAAATAGGATTTTGGTGAGGGTATGGGGAGGATTATATTAATGAAGAAAAATTAATTAGTTTTGTGACACACAAACAGTGAGTGGTGGAGAACTTTGCACAACCTGTCAGTCCTTGTTTTTAACCTGAACAAGCTGTCTCTGGCTGTCTTGGAGGAATGTATTCACATGCAGAACAGGGCTTTGTTTCTTGTTTGGGAGGGGCTTTTCTCTCCTGACTCTGGGTGTCTTTACATTTATCCAGCATTTACTCTGCACGCTTCTGGATTAGAGCAGATTTGATCAATTCTTCTTTCCCTTTGCCCTTCCCTTCAGGCGATGCCCCTGTGGCCCCTGGCTGTCCTCTGCTCTCAGCACAGTCCCCCACTCTCCCTGTTTCCCCTTCCCGGCTTTCCAGACCTTTTCCCGGGGACGTGTGTGGGTCAGAGGGTCTGGAATTCCCGAATTCCTGCTCCTCCGGGGCCGGGCGCGCTCCCTGTCTGTATCCGCAAATCCGTTTGCCTCATATCACACCATGACCTGTTGGGTTTTTTTAAATAAAGAACAAATTTGGGTTTTGATTTACAAATCATGAGTTTTTCCCTCACCGGGCACACCAAAGACCAGTAAAGCTTTTAGCTTTTCCATCTGTTTATAAAGCAATACTGTATTATAAAGAATTGATATTTTTATCACATGCTTGATTGTTTTGGGTTTTTTTTAAGACGTGCACTCTGAACATATCAAACCTGATTTTTTCCTATGAACTTAACGCTGTCTGCGCACAACTGATCTTTGGAGAAGGAAGTGACAGGGCCCATCCTATCAAAAATAATTCCCAGCGATGCATGAAGCAGTAACACTTGCTAGGGGTTAGGTTAGTGGGAATGTTCACAAGAGGAATGTACAAGAAAGGTGTTCCCTGAGTTGGAAGCGAGCGGAGCACAGGCTGGCTTGGAGCTGCTGCAGGGGGTTGTGGTTTGTTTTGGGAGCGGGTATCTGGAGGAACAGGAGGAGCTTTGTCCCCCAGGAACCTGGGATTGCTGCAGCAGCGGCCGTAGGGATTGGGGTGGAACAGGGCTAGGATGTGGTGAACTGGAAGAGCTCTGGTTCCTTGCTGTTTTCCTGGCTATCTTTGGGAGAGCTGCGACATACAGTCCTAAATGTCCTTTTCCAGGCTGAAAGCAAAACCAAACCAAAAACCGGATTTGGGACCAGGCAGTTACAAGTGAGTGGAGGAGAAGGGAGAGGCGTCCATGTGGCAGGAGTGGGAGGATTTAGTGATGGAATGTCCACCTCTTGGTAAGGGATGTCCTTTCTCCAGCTGCTGTGTGGAGAACCCGACTGTATGCGGTAGTTTCTGACAAAGATAGCTGAAACAATGAAGCAAAATCTGAGTCTGTATCTGAGGATGCTTTTTTGTTGCTGTTAAAATGAGACTATCATCTATGCTTACCTAAGAGGCAATTATGTGAATTTCATGTCTGAGGTATAACTTATGCAGGAATAGTTCTGTAAATACATTTAAATAAATTGTAAAGATATTTAATAAATATAGTATTTATACTAAAATGTGCTTTTTAAAGTCAAAACCCCTCTGTTTGTTGATGTGGGGATGGGTTGGTGGCACAGAGGCACAGCCAGGGCTGGGAGGGCTGGGCTGTAACTGTGACCTCCCTGCACTGCTCTCAAATGCGCACCTGGGCGACACCCGATGCCTTCTGCAGCAGCCAGGCAGACAGATAACGATCCCTTAATTGATTGGGAATTTCGGTGTTGTATTCCAGTGTGACTTTGGAAATACTGCACTGCCCCTGATGTGGGGTGGAGGAGATGCAGGGAAAGGAAAGAATAATGCAAGTCTGAAACACAAACCTTTATTTTTTAAAATGCAGTTCTGTGACAACTTTGTTTGTTCAGTTAAACCCCGGTTCTACAGAGTCTGTAAAAACATGAGTTCTCCTGGAGCTGGGCTGGGTTATTTTTCCAGCACCCTTAACCAGAACAGCGGCTTCATTTGCCTGATGTGGTAGCGGAGTTTGAATTCAAACTGAGCCTCTCTCTAGTGAGAGTATTCTGAGAGCAAGAACCCCCAGCAGTTCCTGCAGAACACACAAACCTCAACAGAGTCAGTCATGACCTAAATTTGTGCCATTACAAGAGCACTGACAATTCCAGAACGTTCTGTGCTGCTGGGTCACAGCAGCAGTGACAAAGCACTGCACTCCCCACTGTCTGTCCCTGCACCCCTGCACTACAGAACCGGGGAGCTCTGCAAGGCACCCAGCTCCTCCTCAGTGTCACTGGCTGTCACCAAACTCTGGAAGGTGTCACCAAGAGCCTCCTTCTCCTTGTAAGAGACAGCTCCAAAGAATAAGGAGTGGAACTGGAAAATGCAATATTTGTACAGGTAAGAATTCCGTGATACAAAATTTGGGTATTAATTATTTGTGAAGCTTTTGCCCCTTTTAAGATCTTTCTCGGCCAGTGCAACCCACGTGCCCCTCAGGAGTGTTCCCAGCAGTGGTGGGGTTCCACTGCTGACACCGTGGGGAGTTCCCTCACCTTCTCATAAGGAGCCTCTGTGGCCTCTCCTCCCACTGCCTCAGCCGTGGCTGCTCCTGCTCTGCCTGGCACATCCCTCTCTGTGCCTCTGGGAATATTTTTTACCTCTTGTTTTGCCAGAGCACTTAGGGGTTTTGCCGAGTGCATGCTCGGAGTGTTTCCCTTCTGCTGTGGCTTTTTGGAAGTGGCTGTGTCTGTGTTGCTGGCTCCATCCGTGGAGGTCTGAGCAGATTTATCCATGGCAGTCCTTGAGCTGCATTGCACAGGGTAGGGCAGGTTAGTAACTGGCTTTGTGTTTCATTGGAATATATTTTCTGTTTGTGAAAGATTACAGCTTTAGAGGAGATTGTCAGCATCTTCCCTCCTGCTGCACCCAGATCCCATGGAGATGAGAAAGCAGCAGCTCGTACACAATGTTCTCTCTTGCACCCCCTTACTGCTGTTGTGCTGCTGAGATGTTCCTGAACCCCTGTAGTTCACAGTTTTCCTGTGAAAACCTGAGTTTTTCACCCTCTTAAGGCCACCTGCTCCCTCAGCCCCTGTTACCTGTGCCAGGGCCGTGGGCAGCAGGCAGTCTCTGGGGAAGCTGCTTCCTTCTCAGCCTCACACAAGGTAGCCAGGATAAAGCTGGCCTCCAGCAGCAGGTCCTCAAGGCTGAAAGCAATGGGTCTAAACACAAGTATTGAGACCAAACAGCACAGGGAACTACAGATACTGTGAGAGATGACACAGATCCTGTGATTCTACCCATGAATTAAAAAGGGCCTCCTCTGAAAAGCTGAAAACCTCCTGTATTTGCTACTGAGGAATGAGAGAGGGGCTCCTGTAAGAGATCTCACTGCTCCAATCAGCAAATGCTGTGCAGTAGCAGAGTCAAATTCTAGCATTAAACATGTAATTATTAAAATTATATTTATTCAGAAAACATATTGTTTCTTTAAAGTGCTAAATAAATTGCCTGCAAGGGACTGAGAGGTTCAGGTGTCCAGGTAATTTATACACAGGGAGCTTGTCAGTCAGCACGGCTGCCTTGGCAATGCCCAGGTTCAGTGTTTTATGTGGAATTACAAACTCTGGATTGCATCTTAGAAATAGCTTTTGGTTTGAAATGAAAATCTGCCCTAATCTGCAGTTCAGTGTTCACTGGGTGACTGCAGGGGTCCCAGCCAGGGCAGTTCCCACACTTACTTCCCACATCTGTCGAAGTGAATGGACACAGGCATGTTCGTGGCTTCGGAAAACGCCAGCAGGCCCTGCAGAGAAGGGTAGGGGGTGAAGTGCTCGTTAAACCCAGAACATTAATATTGGAATGTGAGTTTATCCCAGCTGCTGTTCACTGGCAAAAAGAGGGGGAAAGTCTGCTGCTTTTAAGAGTAATTTCTGTCCTTCCCTGCCAGAGCTTTGCCAGAGGAGGTTCTGCATGGAGAACTTCCCTGGTCACGATGCCTTCCCTGGGGCAGCTGTGCTGTGTCTGCCCAGCACAAACCACATCTGTTTCAGAAGTGTTTTGTTTGCCTTTCAAAGGCTCTGAGGTGTCCTGAGGATCCTGGGGTTTAAAGCTAATCCTCAACCAGGTGGTGAAACCCTGCTGCTGTCAGGAGGGCTGGTGGGACACAGCTCAGGGCCATTCCACAGGGACCATCCTCTGTTGTCCTGGTCCAGTCAGGCAAATCAATGAGAAATGGGTTTTGCTCCCAGACAAATTCTTACTTTACCCTCAATTCTTTAAGGCAAAATGTCACTTCAGAATCTACTCCAACTTGAAAGTAGTCAAATTCCTCTGGACTGAGCTGTATCTCAGTAAGCATTGTCCTTGAAAAGTCTGTTTGAGATAACAACAAAGTCAGGGACCCACAGCAGTGAAGTTTGAACCAACAAAGCTGTGACTAACCCTGAGGTTTTTACATAAGCATTGTTTGAACAAATAATTGTGTTTTTATAGTGGTTAACAGTAATAAATGTTTAGCTTATATACATACTAGAATCATGTAAAATCCTCAATTTATTTGCAGTACATTGTAGATTTGAATGGATTTTAATAGAACCCATTCCATGTTCTGCTGTGTGATCTAACTTGACATCTACTGCTGTTCTTGCAGATCTGCTTCTTCCACAGGCATCCATCACAAATAATATTCCCAGCTGCCTATTGTTGCATGGATGGGAAGCCCAAAATGCAGCGTGACTTTAATTAAGAGATTAATCAAAATTGTTGACAATCACCAGAGCACAATGGAAGTGGACTGAGGCTCTTTGTTTTAAATCAGAATCTTTTCCTGACACTTAAGTGGCAACAGGAAATTGGCTGTTCAGTTTCAGGTATTCAGTTTTTTTGTTACCATGAGATTACTCCGTGGCTGTCAATGGGTGTGTGACAGTCCCGGAGAGCTCAGAGAAATTCCACAGCAGCTTGAGGCCAGGCTGCCAAGGAAGTGTTCCAGGCTATTCCCACTCTTCCTTTTCTCTGCTCAGGAGCTTTGTTTTCTCTCCGAAAGCTCAAACAGGCTCTTGTAAGAAGCTCCTTGTGGCTATGGCAGGGCTGTTTGTCACACCGTGCAGCCGCGGCTGAGCCACAAAGGAGAGCAGCTGTGGGCGGAGGGGTTCAAAGGACACGGGAGGTGCTGCAGGCAGGGAGATTTCACCACGAGCACAGCGCCTCTCACTGCCCCTCCTCCCTTCCATCACTGCGGTTTTGGGATCTCTTGTACAATTGTACCGGTTTTTTCACTTTTTTTCTTACAGTAGTCCTGGTAAGTGAATGTTTCTGAAGTCCCCAAATGTGTCATTGAAAAATGTAATCTCTTTATTTTCAGCAATTTCTGCCCTGTTTCACTCCAACCAGTTTCTATCACTTGTTGCTTCTCCTAGCCTGTTCCCCGCCCTATTCCCACCCCTGTGCTCCGGGCTTTTCCCAGGTTGTTCTCCCCAGCTTTGGTCATAACAAGCATGAAAAGCATCTCCTTTATTATATGATACACAAGAACCTCTACTTCAAAACCACAATTACATCTTCAAAATTAGTTTGAGTCACACCCCAGGAATCTCCAGCTCGTTCTCCAGCTCCTGGAGATGTGACCATGGCAGTAACAGTGCTGACACTCTGTGCTGTCCTCAGACTAAAATATACTCTCTAATGATATCAATTCTATAATTGTGGTATTCAGATTTAAATAGTTCTTTTTAAAACATAAAATTATCCCCTTTTTCCTGGCAGTTGCCAGGCTGCTGCTCTTGCAGCACAGTAATTACCTCTTTCAAGCCTACAGCAAGTGGCTTAATTTATTTCAATTGGCTGCTCAGTCTGAGATCTGCCACTGACACCAGGAAGATGTTTCAATTTATTTAAATTTATTTAATTTATTAAAACCAGAGGGTGGCAGCATGACTTAAAATCTCTCTCTATAATGTTCTGTTAAAAATGTTGTACAGCCATAAAATTCATCCCACGTTTATGTCGTGACAGTTATTATTCCTGGAGTTCACCTCAAAAAAAAAAATAAAGTTAAAAGCCCAAGTATTGGTTCACATTTTGAATTTCCTTACCAGTGTCTTCCTCAGTGTAACTCTTGAAACAAACTTTTATTGGAGTTACTGACAAGGTTATTTCTTCCTGACTGGTTGGGAAGTGAATCATCACATCAGCCAGCAGCCTATAAAATGTCATTCAACACTAAAATAATTCCATCTATGACTATTTAGCATTCAATACTTTAGAAAGTAAAACTCAAAAACATATTTCTGTGTTTTGTTACCTGGAGTGGACTTTAAGAATGTTTGTGCACATGTGCTTTGCAAAAACAGCCTGCAAGGGATCACACTCTTGAAATGTCAGGTTATAGGTTTTTACAACACCTGAGTATAAAGGAATAAATTAACAAAAATCAGTGCTTGGCTGTAATTTTAAGGGGTTTTTTTAAGTATTAATTGTTCAATAGAGGAAGTAAGTGACTTAGTCCAGCTATATGGAAATAACTCACCACAAACAGGAAATGGAACCCATCTGCCATCTTACATTCCCTCCACCCTATTGTTGTGCCTGAACAGCATCTGAGTTTTTACGGATCCACAAGAAATAAATGAACAGCAACAAGTGCAACAAATGCAGGGTGGGAAAACTGCCTCAGTAATTAACTGGTAAAATAATATAAATGGGAGTGGAATGCAGAACACAAACCCTACAGATCTCTGCCTTTCTGGGTAAAGGATGTGTTAAGGTCTGCAGACCTATTTCAATGTATTATCCTCAGATCAGTAACCCCAGCTGGATTATTGATAATATAAACCACTGCCTCCAGCACAGCTCTGTGGGGGGAGATGATGTTTATTTAGGAATTTTGCAAAGACTGATGAACATTCCCAGTCCTGCAGGGCTGAGGATGACAGACCTGCTCCTGTGTTGGTAACGGCATTAAACGTGCTTTTAAACTCCCCTGTGACCTTACCATGCCTGCAGAGGAGCTGAAAGGTGATGTGGTGGTCACTGGGACTGGTGGAGATGCTGCACTTCTCTACATTCTTTTCCAGCACATTTACACATCTAAACACAGGGAGAACTGACTGCAAAAAAAAAATAAATCAGTGTAGAAGTTACTCCCAGAGCAGCTTTACAATAGATATAATTTCCCTGGGTTTGTACCCTGGTTTATCTCAAGCTGCTGCTCTTAAGGCTTCCCCAAACTGCTCTGTGGCTGATCCTCACCCACAATAATTTCAGCTGGAAATTGGGTTAATTTCCTGCTGTGTGTAACAACTCACTAAAATGTACCTTAATTATCAATTTACAGGGGAGGGATAACTGCTTCTCGTTCTGACATGGTTGGGACACGGCTGTCCAGCAGTAATGTTGGAAAAACATGGATGAGAAGAACACACATGCATACGCTGACCTCGAGGAATTCACTGATCTTAAGGCAAGCTGGAAATGGAATCACAGAGTCAGTAGGGTTGGAAAAGACCTCCAACATCACAGAATCCAACCGCAGAGGGAACAGAAGTGAAATAATTTATTAAATCAAAACTGTCTCATATTGAATGTTTTAAAAAAAACTTCCCATGGACTTCAGTGCCACCAGCAAACCTGGAAATTTACATCTCAAATGATTAAAAATCTATAAAAATACGTACTTTTAAATTGATTTTACAATTATTTGTAAAAATAATTGAGTTACGCAAACACCCAGAGCTTGTGTTTGAGGCATTTGAGGGACACAATCCATACAGATGAGCAAAGCCACCACTCACACCTCAAAAATTCTTCAGGTGTAAAACCAAATATCTCCACTTGTGATTTTCCATCCTCCCAGTGAGTCAAGGAGAGCTGACCACTTTTAACTAAGAAACCTCTGGAGAAAACACTAATTCTGCTGGAAATGGTGTTTGATTAATCAGAAGCATTAATGGATGTGTTCTTCCTGTTGAGTCACAACGGTACAAAACATGTTGTTTTTAGAGGCAGCTCCTCTGTGGTACAAAACTCAACCCTTGTGACCCTTGACAACAGAACTGAACCCCGTGGCATTAATCCAGATGTCCTGGACAACAAAAAAATCAAAGGATCTTAGGGCAGAGTGGGAATAAAATCTTCCACGATGGAATCTGCATAATTACAATCACAGAAAATATGGCATTTGTCCATATTGAAAGTGGAGGGTGCTGTGAATGTAATGGACTGAAAAGTATCTGTAGGAAAACACAACATCCAATAGTATAAATATTTGGCTTATAATAAAGATTTTAAAATTAGAATAAATAAAATTCACTTACACCTTTTTCTATGGGATCAAACCAGAATTCATCACTAATCCGTGCTATGGCATGTATTGCTCTTCCAAACACTGCCCGGGAAAGAAAACACTGCAATACCCATTTTAAATTAAAATAAAAAGGTGACACTGCACTTTCTCCTGAATAATTCAAGAGGAAACATTACAAACTTATACATTTGAAAGAGAACTGACGGTGAGAATGTTACTTTTGCTTTTTAATTAATATTTTCATTATCCAAACCCTCAATGTTTTGGAAAGCCACCTCTGACGAGGCACCTCGAGTGTCGCCTGTCCCTTTGCTGCGCCTGGTGTTACCACAAATTAAGTCAATAAGACAAAACTCCACCACCGGGGTTAGAAACGACATTTAACAGATAGAAAACTGAGAAGCAACGGGACATCTGGAGAGACGGAATCCTAAAAAACACAGCGGAACCCAGCAGAGGGCCTGGGGATTTGCCTCCGGCAGTGGCGGAGCAGCTTTTCCCACAGAATGCTGAGCTAGGAACCGCGCTGTGCCTCTGGAGGAGCACAGGGGGACACAGCCAGGCCACGGCATCTCCACCCGGCACAATGCCCGGTCCCGCTGGGATGAGGGAGAGGCGGACCCCCCGCTCCGCTCCCGGGGCTCTTGTCCCGCTCAGATCCGTCCCTGAGGTGCCGGGGGTGCCGCGTTCCCGGTGTCCCGCATCCATCCCCGCCTGTGCCGGGTTCCCCGGTACCTCGGAGCTGCGCCCCCCCGATCACGCACTTCATGGCCGCCCCCCGCTCCCCTCACGGCCGCGGAGGGCGGGAAACGCCTCGGGGCGGGGCCTGCGCCGCGCGGAGCCTCGGATGTGGAGCCCTGGGATTGCGGAATTCTGCAATTCTGCAATTCTGCAATTGGGAATTGGGAATTGGGAATTGTCCCGAGTTACGCGCAGGAATCATCGATCCAACCTCTGGCCCTGCACAGACACCCCAGCGATCCCACCTTGTGCATCCCTGGGAGCGGTGTCCAAACGCTCCTGGAGCTCTGGCAGCCTTCACCATTCCCTGGGGAGCCTGGGCAGTGCCAGCACCCTCTGGGGAAGAACCTTTCCCTGATATCCAATTTAAACCAGCTCCAGCCGTTCCCTGTCACACAGAGCACAGATCGGAGCTGCCCCTGCCCTGCCCTGGCAGCACCAGCTCAGCGACAGCCCCAGGAAACGCCCCCGACCCAAAAGAAGGATGAGCATGGCACTAATTAGCACGGGAAGCAAGAGAATAATTTCCAATATAATACTAATTAACAAAAGAACTATGTAACTTGTACTCAATGGACACCAATTCCTTTGTTTCCTAAAATGCTTAAATAAGTAAAAAGTTTTGATAGCTGGGTGCTTTGTTTATGGGAGACCACGGAGCGCCCAGGCTTGCGCAGCTGTGAAATAAGTAATCAGCGTCTCTGTCTCTCTCAAGTGTCATTATCGGCTCGTTTTTGGGGACAAGTCTCATTTCACGCGTGTAAAAACCCAGCCAGTGGAACTCGGCACGGGCGCGTTCGGCACTGTGTTGTCCCTTCGCAGGCGCCGTAGCGGGGGCGGTGCCGGGCGGGTTCCGGGAGGGCCGGAGCGGAGCGGGCGCGATGGTGAGAGCGGGGGGGACCGCGGGAGCTCCTCGGGATCCCCACCCGGGACACTCCGGGACCCCCGACACACCGGAACCCCCTGCACGGCCACAGGAGCCGGGCCCGACCCGACCGGGCCGGGGGAGAGCGGGCGGGAGGGCGGTCCCCAGCTGAGGCGAGGCCCCCAGGGGGTGAGGGCCGGGCCCTGACTGCAGGAGCCCCATTTATAATTTGTATTAATTTTACCGTAATAGCGTTTTTTTGTTTGTTTGTTTTTGGTTTTTTGTTTATTATTATTTAACGCTTCTTTCATAACATCGACAATTCATTAATTATTATTTGCCCGTTCATTTGGCTGTGTTTTCTCTTCTGTTGCTTCCTCTCGTTTAACATTGATCATGTTCCGCCCTGTTTCTCATCCCCTGCAATCAACTCCTTCATTCCAATCAGGCTGGGCACAGAGTAAGTCACTCCTTGGCTCTCGCTAACACCCGCGGTAAGGGCTCGTTCGTGTTTCTCCGTGTCACTGGCAGGTGGCTCAGATGAATTTAGGGGCTGCTGGTCAATCCGCGCTCCAGATCACACCCAAATTCCTGGTAAAATCCAAGTGTTTTGTCATTTTTCGCCGCTGTTTTAAGCTCCAGCTACCTGTGGTGATTAAACCCCCTGCAGTGCTGTTCATTTGGTTTGGTTCCTGTGGTCTGCCAAGCTTTTCTGTAATGAATGGGAGCTGAAATGTGATTTTTGGGGAAATGTGGGGCTGGCGTTGTCAGCAAAGGGAATGTCTGTGCTGGGTGCACACACTGTTGGCTCGGTGGGGCGTGTGAGTGGCAGGACAATTTTACTAAACATCAAATACATAACTGGTACTGCACACTTAAGTCCCTTAGGAAGCAATAAGACAATCTATCTATTACCACTAATCCAAATCACTGCTATCCACAGTTACTCTACTCTTCAAACACCATCAAAAATGTCTTTTTTTCCTTCTCCTGGTTTCATTTCAAGTTGGTCACTCGTTGATTTAAAAGCTTTTGTATTGCTTTACCAGTACTTCCAACCATCTGTCTCCAGATGGCTTTGCTGGTGGCACCGAGATGTTCTTAATCTAAAAAAAAAAACCCCAAACCAATCAAAAATACTACCCAAGTTAGCCTGAAGGTAACTGCATGGCCTGAAAATCCATGTAGAAAAAGAATCTTTAAAAATACAATTCCCTAGCCTACTTGTATTTGTTTATAGAAATAAATCCATGTTGTGTCCTTTACAAACACATTTGAGGGTATCATTTTAGGAAGTGCCTCACTAACATGAAGTGGGAGGTAAAAATCTCTTTAATATGGAGCCAGTCTTAGAGTTGCTAGGGCTGAGTGATCCAGGCTTTTCCCAGAGCAGTGCCATAACATTCCCTGCTTTACAAAGCTTCTCCTGCCCTTTTTGCACAATTAATTTGCCCTGTGTTGCTTGCATTATTGCTTTATTTGCAGATTTAAAGCCTATGCTGTTAAGCCATGGCCTTGCATCATCTCAGTCCTTTATTTTGAAGCCTCACACTACGTTTTTATTCTGGCATCTGAAACTATAAATGTGTAGAAGTGGTAACAGGAACACCGTGCAGTGACCTGGATTGGCTTCTCTGTAGTGCCCTGCTTATATTTTGTTGTTATTTTTTAGCCTTATTCAGTTTTTCAGTGGTTTCTACAGTGAGTTCTGAACACCCTTCCTCTTCTGGTCAGCTATTAACACATGTTGCTGCTTTTTAAAAATATTTTTTGTTTTTATTTTTTTAATAAGGTGAGAGAAACTTGGATGAAGAGTTTTTTTAAGAGAAGTGGCTGCAGTTTAGCCAGGTCTGTGCTTGAAATGTGTTAGACAGAAAAAACAGTGGGATAGGTTGTGGTAGCTCCCAAATTTGTGTAAAATGCATCAGGTAGTACAACAGGAATGTGTTATTTTGCACTGTTGGCAACAAAACACAAATAATTCTGCAGACCTGTGTTTGTAAAGCTCCCTCTGCTCATGGTCTGGCAAAGACAATAATTTCCCATGGAACAGAGCAAAATTCCATCACCATTCCATCGTTATTTTAACAGCTTTTGGGTCCAAATTCAAAGTGGTGTCTCTGCAGAGGACACTGCAGTGCTGGCTGTGCCCTAACCCGTGTCTGTCCCCCTCTCTCCCCTCCTGCCCCTGAAGTTGGTGTTGGTGCTGGGAGACCTCCACATCCCCCATCGCTGCAACAGCCTCCCGGCCAAGTTCAAAAAGCTGCTGGTGCCTGGCAAGATCCAACACATCCTGTGCACAGGGAACCTCTGCACCAAGGACACCTATGACTACCTCAAGACCCTGGCTGGGGATGTTCATGTTGTCAGAGGGGACTTTGATGAGGTAGTGTCTGTTTTTTGGGGTATCTTTTACATTTTTTACCTTTGGAGTTCATTCAAGTAAAAGTGGTGAAATGAATTCCTGAGCTCTCCCCTTCTTGGTGTTGCATAGGGTTGGGTTTGAATATAAATCTGTCTAATCTGGGTTTGTTTGTTTTTTTCTTTAATTTTTAGAACCTGAATTATCCTGAGCAGAAAGTTGTGACTGTTGGACAGTTCAAAATTGGGCTGATTCACGGCCATCAGGTGATCCCCTGGGGTGACATGGCCAGCCTGGCACTGCTCCAGAGGCAGTTTGATGTGGACATCCTCATTTCAGGACACACACACAAATTTGAGGCATTTGAACATGAAAATAAATTCTATATCAATCCAGGATCAGCTACAGGAGCCTACCATGCCTTAGAGAAGTAAGTGAATATTGGGGGCAATTTTTTTTTTTTTTTTTGGTAACAAAACTGAACTACAAACTTGTGAGGGTTAATATTTCTGATTTACATGTCAGGGAGGGGATACTTAGAGTTGTATAACTTAGCTTTACTTGCTTAATCTGGACTGAGACATGAAATGCTCACAGCCTCAGATCTCATGTGCTGTACTTACAGAATTAATTCCCATTTTTCTTGAAATGATTTCTGCTAAATAGTGGTGAAACACTAAGGGGGTTATAGACACACAATCATATGAGTTTTTTCCTCTCTTTTCAGCAACATCATTCCTTCATTTGTGCTGATGGACATCCAGGCTTCTACAGTAGTTACATATGTCTATCAACTAATTGGAGATGATGTGAAGGTAGAAAGAATTGAGTACAAGAAATCCTAAAAAATGTTTTTGCTTGTCTGGTATTTTTACCATCTCCTTCTGAGCTGCAAGTTCTAAAACTTGATTGCTCGTTTACAGCCCTGCACTGTCGCTAACAGCTTAACAATGTAACTTGTCATGAATTTAAACAACCTTGTGTTTGCTTTTCTCTGTATGAATTGATTTGTAAAATATTCCATTAAGATAAATGTCTAAATACTGTTCTTAATGTTGTAATAAACTCCACTTCATAGAAAAGCTGAGCTGGCTGAGGTGATGTTGGGGAAGAATGCAGCAGTTGTGGTGGTTTGGTGTTCACCTTTAAGGGATGCTTGCACTGGGATTGAACAGAATTTGAGGGCTCTAGGACCAGGCTGGGTTTGCTCCAGAGTCCAGTTTATATTTAATTTTCTCAATTTAACATTCCCAACTAAGTTAAAGGAGTAAAATGACTTGCTAGACTCTGAAAGGATTACAGTTACCTCATAATTTCACTGTAGAAAGTTTGAGTCTTTCTCTGATCAGAGCAGTTTCAAATCTCCCTCTGCTTTCATGAATGATGATCTCATGAAGTCTGTAACCAGCGAGGAGAGGCCTTCCTTTACTTGTGGCTCACATCTGACACTCCATTTTCTGTGCACTTTGCTCCATGCACAGAGGCTCTCAATGGTGTCATTCCATGTGATTTTTAAAGCTGCTAAAGATAAATATGGGTTGTTCAAGAAACAGCACCTTGTGGCTCCTCTGGTCCCACAGCTGCAGGGACCTGAATGTATTTAACAGCTCCCCTTTCTCACAACTGCTGTAACTTTCCAACAGAACAGATTTTTATCTTTTGCCTCCCACAGCAGAATGTTTAGAATGGGGGCCAGTTTCCTTGATCTCTGGATTATGACTTTTCCGTCAGCTGGAACTC